CTCATCTTGCTGGGCTATCGTCCACGAAAATGGTTAATAATAACGACCTGGGGTAACGACTAGAGGAATTTCGAATTTCCATGTTTTCTAAATCATTCGATCCCAACAAGCCTTTTTCACTTTCGCCTTTCGAGAGTACCTACTTTTTATATATTTACTCGACCTATTTCTCTCTCTCTCTCTCTCTTTCGTCCCGCTCAACCACAACCCCAACCGCTACCCCGTCCACCCCTCATCCCTCTCGCCGCCCACTTTCTCGCTCTTTCTCGCTCATTCTCGCTCGGTTTTGGTTCCGGCAACCCTTTTTCTTATTCGTTTTTTTCTCTTACGCGCGCGCGCATTGTTTGTTAAACTGGTTAAAGCGTTTGTTCGTCTTCGGGGATCCGTTTGCTTGGGCTTTGTATTGGTGTGCGTGTACATAGCGACGTAACGCGTGGCATGACGAAAAACACCGAGAGCAATCCGTGCAAATATCGGCCTCGTCGTGTGTATCCGGAGTCAACATCCAGGTCGAGTCGAGTCGAGGCTTCGAAGGTAGATAACTAATTCTTCTCGCTCGAAGGTGTCGTCGGACTAGGATGACGACTACTCTGCCTTCTTAGGCCTATTTCACCGATATGAGAGAGCGCGCGCCGTCATTTTATTTAATATGTGTAATGATTGATTTTACTTTACGTGATTAGTCACGAGTTCAGGCGTTCGATAAAAATAAAAGTAGGCTTGGGTATATTGTCAGTTCATAAAATACCAATAACAACGTAAGAAAAAATATGCCACATCTCTGCCATTGTATTAAATAATAATAATTAAATATACTTAAATACTTAAAATACTTAAATATTCATAAGTATGGCACGTGGTTTAGAGCGAGTGGTGGGAAGCAATAATATAAGACAGACGAAGAGAGGTGGATAGAGAGCTGGGTCGAGATATATATATATATATATATATATATATATATAGAGAGAGAGAGAGAGAGAGAGAGAGAGAGAGAGAGAGAGAGAGAGTGAGAGAGAGAGAGTATGAGAGGTAGAATGGCTCTTACAACGTATGAATAATATTCTGTAAACGCAAGGCTAAAAACAGGGCCTTCATCTCACATTTGGCAGCTCGTCTCACGCACAAGCTGATCACAATTTCCAAGTATCGTTGGATTCCCGCAAGTTACTAGGAAGGCAGGCATAGGTCATTAGAGTATTCTTTCACGGCTAGGTGCACTCTCTCATGTGACTAAGCGATCGACATCGAGACAGTCTGAACATTGGCGTGCGCCTCGGTGTTTATTTGGCTTCGGTCCTGGAATATCGTCACCTAAGATATCGCCGCTCTCGCGCACAAAAGATGCCCTTCGATTTTTCTTCCTTCTTTAGCACCGTACGTATACGATATGTTTTAGCTTCGCTTTTAGGATGGGGGGTATCGAGTTCACCGGGCTTTCTTCCGTTTGTTTAATTGAAATTTGAGATTTTCGTAACCTCTTGAGCGAGCGAGCGAGCGAGCGGGCGCGCGCGCGTGCGCACGCGTTCGAGTGATAACGTATTGCGCACTTAATGCGTCGTTTTTTTGAGTTGTTGGCTTAAAGGCTGATCTTATGGTCAAATTTCTCTTGGGTATGTGAAGGGAAAAATTTGTCGCTTTGACATGTCCCGGGTGCCATATAAATACGTCTAATATTACGCCCGAACAATGGAGATATACGCGATAAGGGGATCGTAAATTAAAATTAAAAGAGGCAGGAGTTACTTACTAGGCCGTGCACATTCTCAATTTAGCTTATAATAATCGCTTAAGGCCGAGCGGCGTCGATAAACACACTTCCAGCCTGGCTTTTTCTAATATGACTTTCTCTTTTTCGATAACCCAGCGCTCACTTAAATAAAAGGCGAATTATTGTAAATAATTTGGCGGGATAAAGGTGGCCGGTGATATTACTAGACCGTAGCAGCAACACCGTCATAAATATTTCCATCGAAGTACGACAATGTTTGATGGGAAGATAATCTAACGCCTCTTAACAGAACCAGTTTAGTCCGGGTATCCTTCCGTTGCATTGGTGGGTGCATAAAATTGCGATACTCGCTGCGTAGAAATTACGCGGTAAAGCAGACATACAAATATTTGATTCCCACTCTTGTGCGTGTGCTCGAGCCGTTATCGGCAAATTAGCACGGCCAACATGTTAAATTAGAAATTCCGGAAAATAAAAATCGATAAAAATGAAAAAGGAAAAGAGGAAGAAAAAATATTTTGCATTGCGAAACGAGGAGCTGGTGGCGCAATCGCGCATCAACTCTCGAAATGACCGATTGTGCGCAAGATAATCGAAATGAATCATCGCCGACTCGTTCAGCGCCAACGACGAACGTCAAGTAGAATCGTGCGGATGCACGATTATACAAACGCAAGTGTATACCTGCCGTGTTGTGGGGGGGGTGGGGGGGGGGGGGGGGGGGTGTTTAAGGATGATGAAAATGGGCTGGAGGGGGTTGGGAGGGGCACAGATCCCACTTTTATCTTTTATCCGCAGAATTTAATCGGAATGCGACACATTTAAATCTGTATTCTTATTCTTCATTTTCAATAAAATGCGAAAGCCTCGAAAATTATTATTATTTTCTTTATGAGTCACGAGTAACGTTTATTCCACGGATTAAGGCTGTTCTTATTGGTTTTCGACAAAATCATTGTTAAGAAGAAACCCGGATGCAAAATATTTATATTGGCGTTATGATAAGATGATGTTGTATCGGCCATTCGACAGTACGTTAAATTTCATATTGAAGGGATAATATTTTTTACTGCGATAATCTAACTCGATGTGTTAAAGAGAAATGTGTAACATCAATTACGTTTCAGTTTATTGCCAATGTTAATTATGATATATTAAAGCAACACATCTTCGTGAAACCCGGATTGGGCAAAATAGTGTAAAGTACGGAGAGGTAAATCCATAATGAATCATATAATTAATAAATGTTTAAAAAGTTATTAATCATTATAATATAATATACCATTAAAATATTCGCACTAATTCATAACTAATCAACATAGTGATAATGTAGATAGAAGTACATTAAAGTAATCGGCCAACCGATAACAATTCAATATGTTGTAAAATTATCAATTTTAACATATCACATATAAATATTACAACTTCTAATCGTGATATTGTTTTGATTTTCAATTTACATATGCAAAATCATTGATATTTTATTATAATCGTAAAGTAATTTTTAATTTCTTTTCCATTTTCCATGTGCGATTGGAACGTACAAATATATTCGTGTGTGCGCGTGTATTTATATCGTCTTGATCTTGAAAAAGATTAATGTCATAATTATACGTTGATGTGCAGTGAGATAAGCAATACGTGAGAGATCTCACGTGTATTTGGGAAAATTTATTCATAAAAATTGAATTCTTTTCCCGAAAATGACCGATATTCCAAAGGGTTCGATTACCGTTAAAAATATGACTCACGATAAGCGATTAGACGAGGTGGTTGGTAGTGATGGGATATACTTAACAGGTAACTTATGCTTTATTTGCAATTATATGTTAAATTTAAGAAAATATTATCACTAACAACTATTGTCGATGTAAATCTTTAAACAAATGTTTTTTTATCTTATCCATTAAAATGAATTGATATTCATAATGAATTTAAATGATTTTTATAGTAATATCAATTATAGATACTGATTTTATCGCTATTTATACGATATGGCATTTTGTTGAAAAAATTCTTCACAATTCCTAATAAAACTTTTAGTACCCACAATACATGCCTACGACCAAGCGTAATAAAAGATTGTCAATGATCTTTGCATAATAGATTACGTATAGAAGTGTATATACTTTATTGTAGTCGTATCAGATCGCTAATTATTACGATCCATAGTGTTTATGCTATTCAAAATAGTTGTATAAACATGGAAATATTTTCAAAAATACATAGTCCCACGTTCGCGCAATAAATTATAAGTACTAAGCATGCGCTTTTTTTTCTCGCCTTATGTTTTTTGATATTAATAAGTAAGCGAAATTATTAGATTTTTTTTCCCCCCCCCCCCGTTTGTTTAGCTCAATATTCATTTATTCGACATCGATAAACTTTCGAATAAACGATCTTATAATCGGCACTTAAATGTACTTATTACATTAGGCATGTTATCAAATTTATACGCACAGTAAAGAAATATTATTGACTATTGGCCTTTCCCTTGGCCTCGTAATCAGCCGAAAAGTAACTCAAACGTTAAATAATATTCATAGTAACAACGAAATTAACAATTTATTCGGATCATGATAAAATTATATTTATGAAAAATGACGTTAGTGGCCACTACCGCTGAAACGCGGAAAGAATAATGGGTCAATTACTCGAACACGGTAACGTTTATTTTCAATTATTATCCGGCCGTTAAATCTATTTTCTCATAGCAATGTATTTGTAATTTTTTTAATTTTTCATATTCTTTCATTTCATTATCATTTTTTCTCTTTCCTTTTCCCGTTCTTTTTTGTTTTATTTTGCGACAATCGATTAAGAGCAGCGATTGTCTCGTGAACAATGTGACACTTAATTCCGCGTGTAAAAGGCGATTATCAGTAAGAGATACGAAGCCTTAATAAGGAGTCGCATTATATCATAGAAATATAAAGCCAAATAACAACTCCTTAAACAAAAATGCACGACCAACAAATATCGGACGTGGACTGGCAAGATACGAATAATGCGCGTACAACTAGAAATTGAGAATCGTCGTTACAGGTTAAGAGCGGGCCAGTCAAATATATTAATTTATGATAAGCATTTCAACGCTCGACAAAAGAAATAAATCAAAATAAAAGAAAAAGAAAAGAGAGAAAAAAAAAACAAAGCCAAAGTCTCGATTGAGCTCGTCGTCCCATTATCGCCTCCGCGGCTCGTATGTCTTTTCTTTACTGTGCCAAATCCTATAATGATAAGTAATAGATAATCAGTAAAGTACACACACCGCGTTTGCGTGGCGAGGGCAAAAGCTCCGGCCACCAGCAGCTCGAGGATCATCTCTCGCTCTCGGCGCACACCCCTCCGGCCCCGGAGAGAGAGGCTACTGCTGCTTCCACCGACGCTTGGCTCTTCTCTTCTGATCGCACTCTCCACAGTCTCTCTCTCTCTCTCTCTCTCTCTATTTCTCTCCCCCTCCTCTCACTCTCTCTCTCTCTCTCTCGTTCTCTCTCTCTCTCTCTCGTTCTCTTTAACGCACGCGTGCGCTGTCCTCTCGTCTCTTTCCTTATCTTGCGATCGTTCTATTGTCTAGTCGGTGTCTCAGTTCGCGTTAAGTGCCATCGGGGAGACGCAGCAGCGCGTTATCACCGGCGAGCGTCTCCACATCATCGCGAGTCGCAATGACGAACTGCCGAACCATTCGAGCGGTCTCACTCCCACCGCGCCCTGCCCCGCGACAACGGCGACGGTCGCGGCGCTATCACTTGGTGCGAATCGCGAGGGGGAAGCCACCGGCGTGCGACGAGGACGAGATCGGCACGACACCCCAAGGCACACGATGCGGGGACGTGTCGGGAGGTCCGTGACGAGGAGGAGACGGAAGAGAGCTTGACCATTCGGCTTGCCGATCTCGTGATGACTGAGGTTCGAGCCTCCGAGTCTCGCACAGTTACTCACTCCCGGCTCGGACTCACTACTCACACGCGTTCTCTCGGTCCCACCTACTCTCCTCTGGGATCCCTTCCACCTCTATCTGTCCCACTCCCACCCTCCCGCCCTCTCACGCTCACTTGCACAAGCACGCACGCGCACGCACGCGCACGCACGCACGCGCAAAGACACGAAAGTGCACACGCACAATCGCGCGCACGCGCATGCGCACACAATCTCGTATCTCCTCGTATTCGGTCTTGCACGCCCCCCTCCCCACCCCGCCTATTCGCTCGCTCGCTCGCTTACTTGATCGCGAGTTTGTGTAGATTCGGCGTTGTGCGCTTATTCTCGATCTATGATGTGGTGGTGTTTATCATTGTATATGCATCATCATCATCGACGTCGTAATACGTCGTCTGCGCCGCCCTCTTACATATAATCTCTCTCTCTCTCTCTCTCTCTCTCTCTCTCTCTCTCTGGGTCCCCTGCGCGCGATCACCCCTCTCCCGCCCACTCCCACCCGCAACCACGACCCCGGCGAGCCTCTCGAGCTACACCCTCGCGCGCGTGGGGATACCTTCGTATCAACGTAGTCCGGACCCCCCGGACCAAGCGATTTTTATCATTGTGCGCGCATGCGTATTGGGGATCCGGTAAGCGGCCGCGTGCAAAGTGATCCCACGAACAATTGACCCTACCCAACATCTTGTGAAATTGCCCTTGCAATTATTATGGTGCATTTCGGGATTTTTCTTTTGTTCCCGTTAATTTTGCCCTATTCAAGCTGCTCTCCAAGATAAATATTCGCGAAATACGATGTTACCAGAACCTACCATAGCCCATCGAATTGAGCATGAATAAAGTTTATAATACAGGATTATAAGGAATTACGCATTTGGCGAGTAATAGCGCGATGATTTTAAATGAAATATCCAGCGTCCAGCTCTACTTTACAGCTTACTTAAATGCATATTATAACGTTACAGCCTACAATTACTATTTATCATTGTATTTTAATTCGTAGATAATAAGAAAAAGTTATTGGTAATATTGAGAATAAAATAATCGTGCAATAGATGGAAATAAAAGCGTCGGTATATACGATATTGTGGCAAATTGTTGTCATTTATTTGAAACATCCAATTATTAGACAAATTTTAAACTGGCTGATTTGCAATTATAATTTGTACTATATCGTAAAGTAGATAGTTCACCTGTAAATGCCCATTTAAAATATATAAATGATGGCTTTGATACAAAACACGAATTTTTAAATTGCGTGTAGTTAGTCATTTAAAGTATTTAGTGTGGCCACGTATGCTATCTACGAAGTTCGGGTAGAAATATTACTATGAAGATACACGAGAAGAAATTCAATGGCAGTGGCTTTTAGTTCTCGCTAATGGGGTGAAAGTATAATATCCCAATTGCATGGGGATAAAAATACAGAGATACATAATAAATTACAGGTTTACGCATAATTTTTCAGTTATTTACAATGTAGAATTGTATGCTTAGGTGTACAATTATTCTCAACATCTAAATATTTGAATATCTAAGTTATGTAGACAATTTTTGTGTGATATACAGTAAAATATACATAACGAGTAATGCTGGTGGCACAATAAAAAAAAAAAAAAAAAATAAATAAATAAATAAATACATTTAAATTTAAATTGACGTACACAATACACATTATGGATAATATCTATTAATAAACTACGATTATTTCTACTAAATTATTAAGCTAAATATTGGTATTAGTTTTGACAGTTAATGAATTTTGTAATTAAAAAGGATTAGTGCAATAATTAATAAAGTATTTGAGTAAGATTATTCAAATAAAGTAATTTATTAAAATGAAATTATTTCTCAATTTATTTATGAGTCATTACGTGAGGTTGCGTAATTAAATATAATTAATAATGTAAAGTTCATTCAATATTTAGACCATAGAATATTTTATTCGTAGAATTATAGATGTAAATTATTTCAAATAATACGAAAAAATTTTCCATTAACATGAACTTACAGTTCGTCTACTAGACAAAACATACGTATTAAAATTTGTAATATAATGTGCATTAATATTCAATATACTCATTTTATATTATTTTAATTATAAGTTAGTTTTAGTTATAAATAAATCAATTTACTTATTTTATGTATAGTGATAATTAATTATTCTCTTTATCATTACAATTCTTATACGTTTCAACATTATTTAGGAATTGTGCGTCCAAAGATCAATTACCATGGGAATGACGAAAGAAGATTAAGAGGTACGGTAATCAGCTGCCAATCAACGGTCATAGTCATAACGCAAAATATCAAGTAAATTAAAATGGTCGAGTAATGCGACATAAAACGTAGATACGCGAAAGAATTAATGTTGCGCTTTAAAAAATCATATGTTTTCGGACAAAATTTTATATCTGTAATGTATTGTTACATGTAAATAAGAATGGATCGATAACATTGAATTTAAAAATGGATAGAGGAAATAATTTAATATTAATTTTGATATATCGAGATAAATTTAATTTAAAACATTATTTATAAAAGTGAGATAAAAAAAAATGACTATATTTTTCTTTTGTTTTTTAATAAAAGTTGCTTGCTTCTATCTATCTTCTCATTACATTCTGACAAATATAAAAAATATTCTATTACGTTTATATTATATTTTATTATTTAAATACGTTAACCGAGGCATCGATGAATTATTTTGCATAGATATTTTAATTTGATGCTTGATAATAACACATTATTTAAGTATTGCTTAAGTAAATATTTGTTCGAAGCTTAGGAATCATTTTTTTGACAATCGCATTTAGTCATTTTCATTTGTATGTTTATATAACAATATGGGACTTATATATAATAATATTTTCTCGAAAAAACATCATTTGATATAAAGAATTTGTGTTTTTAATATTATTACATATATTGCGTAAAAAGAATAATTTCTAACTGTTGACATTAGTTCAACAACTAGTTTTAAAAATGTTATCAATTAAGTATTCAAATTTCACTGTTGCTAATTGTTTTTTTTTTTTTTTTTTTTTTTTTTTTTTTTTTTTTTTTTTTTTAATAAAACAAATACAATGTTCTTGTTGACGAAACTAGATCGGAACAAAAATTTGATATTTTTCGAATTTTCGAATCGTCAAGTTCATAGCCTTGAATATTACTAGTATTACAGACGAGCGCGCGCGCGCGTCAAAATCATTTTCATAAAATCGACAGACAAAATATGAAAGAAACTTCACACCATTTGATAAGATGATTAATGTAAGCTCGGACGATAAGGTCGAGCGTCGTATAGTTTATCGTTGTATGTGATGTCATTTTCTAAGCACATTGCCGAATTTAGTGGGGCCGCACGACCACTTGCTATTATGTAATTGTCACTTCGTACAGACGTGCGCTTCCGGATGACGTAGCTACCGCGATGCGAAACGACTTGTACATTGATAAGAACGCGATGAACTTTTAAATTAGTCTTTTGTAAATTGCGCCCTTGTGAAATTGCCTGAATTTTCAATTTATCATAGTCTGTGCCTCGTTAGCTAGATATTTTTCCTTCATTCCGAGGACGATTTTTAAATACTTTTGTGTCTATTTTAAAATAGATGCTTTTTTTTTTTAATACCTTACGAGGGTATATCTGGCCTATATTGTTTTGTTGATTAAGAATAAAATTTTTTAATTAAGCCTTCGTCTATACTGATTACGATTTTACTATAAATCGTATAATTTTAATAATAATTACATTAGTGTAGTTAAAACAATCTCCATTAAAATAACATATATCCTTCGAGTATATTTAATATAAGATTATGATTAAAGTTTTGATATCGCGAGATGATGTAACTTTAGTAAACAAATGGACGAGTAATTTATTAAGTATTTAGCACAAAGAAATTAGAAAGCTAATAAAGAAATAATTACAAGTACTACAAATTTGCCTTTAACGAACTTTTAAAATTGAACGATCGAATCGATCATACCGATCATACCGATGAAACTGAAAAAAGCTTATGGGATTGATGTAAAAATGCATGCAATACCACATACATTAGAACTTATTAAGCAGATATTGAAAATAATCGCCTCAATAAAATGTGCGTTCGCGTACGAAATCTACGCAGTCAGTGAATGTATATAATATCACATTTCATCGTGTCCTTCCAATAGCAGTCGACGGTATCAGTGCCAACCGACACTAGGACATTTTTCATTCTGTAAATTAACACATACATTATGTGTTAGGTTGGGTCAAAACTACAACGAATCAACAGGTGAAGTTTTGTCTCGTATGCTTTTTATCACGTCGTCTGTGCTCACGAAGCGACATCCGGCTGATCCGCCTACGGGAGATCGGAAGTCCG